TGTAGAGTGTACAAAAAAAAAAAAAAAAATAGTGTTCAGTTCTAACAAGTCAAAGATTTACTTAAAATATTTTAAAGTATATTCCACTTGTGCTTTCTACTCTGAAAACTAAAAGCCCCAGGCTCTGGTTTAGTAATACTATTATTAATGTTCCATTTAAAAGAAAATACACATACAGTGTACTGTATAATTCCTTGCTAATACTAGGTATTAGAAAGGTATAAGTTTGTAATGAGGCAGAACACAATCCCAAATTTAGTACAAAATGTATTTAATTTTAACCATTTCAGAGAATCTAAAATTGCACCCCTCTTAGAGTTGCCTATTTTACTATGGCCTGAAATAAACACATCTGAAAATAGTACAAGAAATTTAATGCCTTGTACTAATCATAGGGCATTAATATTAAACCTTAATTGGGTATCTCTGGTGATTTGCTAACTCACTCAAATGTAAGCCTGAGACCCAGAATTTTGTTGATTTTTATTCATAGCTGTATCCTTATCACCTAACATGGTACATAAAGTAGATGATCATTAAACATATATTTGATTAAATAAGTCTACTTTTGGCTGGGCACAGTGGCTCACACCTGTAATCCCAGCACTTTGGGAGGCCAGGGCCGGCGGATCACTTGAGACCAGGAGTTTGAGACCAGCCTGGCCAACATGGTGATAGTGGTGGGTGCCTGTAGTTCCAGCTACTCAAGAGGCTGAGCACGAGAATCACTTGAACCTGGGAGGTAAAGATTACAGTGAGCTGAGACAGCACCACTGCACTCCAGCCTGTGTGACAGACCAGGACTCTGTCTCAAAAAATAAACGAATAAATAAATAAATCTATTTTTACTAAACTTGCCTATGATTCTAAGGCCAGAAGAGTGATCATTAAAAATAAATTTTACTCTAGGAGAAAATTTAATTTCAAAATTAACAAGTTAAATGTGTAACTTTCATTTGCTCCCCAGACATTATTAAACTACTGTTACTAAAGAACAAAAACCATTTTGGGTGTGGCTCATAACAGTGTCTGGCCAGTAATGTATTAAGAACTCTGAATATTTTTAACTTTTCTTCAATATATTGATTTCAAATCATATATAGATAATTATCTCTTTTTCTTCAGTTTTGGATGATTTATGTAAGAAAAAAGTGTAAAGCTAATATAATCAGTATTAATCTAATATGATTTTGTCTGGCAGGTTGGTTCCTTTGAACATAATCTTACAACTGATCTTCTAAACCACTTGGTATTTGTACAGAAAGTGTTTATGAAGGAAGTTAATGAAGTAATACAAAAAGTTTCTGGTAAGATGATCTAGTACCTTATAGCATAACTGTAGGTTTTTATTCTCATTGACTGTGTGATGTCCCGTGTGTCTGTGGTATAAGTATTGATCATAGCATTTAGATATAATTGCCAAATAACTCCTAAGAAACTATGCATTCCTTTTCTGGTTTTTCCATCTACAGTCTTTGCTTATCATTTTTGTCATGTGCAATGTATACATTTAAGATTCATAAACTTTAGAAAGCTCCTTTATATTTCACCCTCAAAAAAGAAAAGCTTACAGTATGTCTATTAACCAAATTAATCATACTCATTTGGGAACAACAATTAGCTAACTACTAAGATTTCAACCTTTCATCTATACCAGGTGATGGCTATTTGCTGGCTGTATGGTAAATTGTCTGTAGAAACCCTTGTTATATTTTTGCTATGCCTCAAGAATGGCTTACAGTTGGGCTTAGTCATTGCTGTACATTTTTCACAAGATAAAGTGTTAAGAGGAATTGGGCTGAAAAGTTGACTCTGTATAACAGTTCTTCATGCTGAGTATTTTCAGTATGAATGTTACCATGTTAAAAGAATATTTAAGCCACAATCATAAATTGGCATCAAAAAGAGTTTTCCTTTATGCTCATGGATTAATTCATTCATGTAACAAATTTATTATGTATCCAGGTATTCAATTACAATTTTGATGAGTGCTGTAAATGACAAGAACAGGGTGTTATGAGTTTGTATCGTAGGAGAAGCTAATCTAAAGAATCAGAAAAGGCTTCTCAAAAGAATTCATATCGCAAATCTTAAGAATAAAGTCTAGTTTGGCAAGAACGGAGAGGTAGAGAGGATACAGGCAGAACATATGTACCAGTATTTGATAAAGCTGTGAAGGAGGACAGTGCACCTTGGATGCAGGAACTAAATTATGTAGCAGCTGTGTGAAAAACAGGTGTCCTTGATTCTCCTGGGCTGGTTCTGGTTGCATTTGAGGTTAATGATCATACTGAAGAAGCCCAGTAGAGCTGTAGAATTTTACAAGTTAAGTCTTAAAAGATGAAATCATTGGTAGCCATGGAGTTTTTCTGAAAATGGTTGAAGAGATAAATATATAATAAAAGGAAGAGATAAATATATAGTAAAATTCCTCTCTGCCACTGGGGAAGCCTTAACTTGGGGAGCATACACAAGTTTTGATGTGGCCTATTTACCTGGTTAAAATCATATTATGACATTTTTTTTCTGATAGGAATGTTGTTAAGAATATATAAAGCTGGTAAACTTAAAGAGTTCTAAAAAATATTTTCAAGATGCTTTTATTACTGAAAAAATATATAATTAAAAAATAGACTCTTGCATGAACTACTCTTGTATTTCTTATGGTAAAAAACAAGTGTTTTAGAGTTCCTAGTATCAGACTGTCAGTTGGTAAGCCTCTCTTAAGGTAGTTTTGATTAAAGAGAAAGCCTTTTCTTAACCTTTAGCTTATAGTCAGGAGATATACAAGTATATCTCAAGGTCTATGAAGAATAAGATGGAGAAAGAGGATTGAAAATTAATATTGGTAACCATGAAGACTTGCTATTCACTCTTAGAGAATCAGATGATAGTGCCAAAGGAGTGGCTAGATTTGCTCCCTGAACCATTTCTTTCTGACTTTAGTGACAGCCATGAACCTTGAGAAAATAGCTAAAGTGTAAATCACATAGGATTTACCTGGCCACAGAGCCTGGTGGAGCATAGGTATTCTGTTATTCTATCAAGGCCAAAGAACATAACAGAATATTGAGAGGGATTACTTTGAACCCTTGTAGCTCTAATTTCTCAGTACTCTGATCTCTGTATTGCTTCCTCCCTCTCCCATAATCTTTAGTTGTTTTCCTTATTTTTTCTTGTATTCTTCTTCATGATTTTCCATCATGTTACATTTAGTGTTAGGACATTTTTTATTATGTAGGAAGACTAATGTTCATAACAGTCATCAAGTTTGTTAGGAAAATACTTTTTTGGAAAAATTGATTACCTTATTTGTCCATGAAGGACTTTTAGGAATGCTTGGGTTTCAGAAAGATGTAAGTGAGCACTGACTGATCAAGTAAATAGAAAAGACCTATTTCTGAGTGTATACGACCATCTTAGAAGCATATAAGGAAATTACCTTCTTAGAATTGGGCAAGATATATATTCAGTTGATAAAGACATTAAAAAAAAAAACTGTGGAATTAATGCGACTAACATAATAGTGTCTGATGGTTCCATAAACTATAATTATTGTGCATTATGTTTTGTAAGTGTTTGAGCTTTTACTTTGAAATTTTAAACTTTTCTTTCTGAAACTAGATAAAAGGTATTCAAGGTAGTGATAGACAAACACAAAACAAATAGTCCTTTAAGGTATGCTCATTCATCAACAGTTTTATCTTCAGAGATGGATTATCAAATGAATAGACACTAAGCCATTATTTTCATTTTGTAAAACAATTTGACTATAAGAAAAATTAGATAGATGTGAATCTTCACAAAGCTCTAGATATTTAGAGTATTAATATTACAATACACAAAGTGAAATTATGCTAAACAATGTAAAAATCTAAGATTATTTCAGATATGTTAAAACATTTATTTGTTTAGCAAAATGATTTAAGAGAATATGAAAAAGTGAAAGACTTACATTTAGACTATAAGAAGAAAATAGTGTGTTAAGGAAGTGTACTGTTAGGTAATATAACATGAAGATTTTACTCAACTTAGGTAAGTGAAAATTGAAAAAGAATCTGCTTTTAACCAAATGAAAAGGATAACAAAAAAGCAAGAATATTAAGAAAATGGAAATTGATGAGATATTTGCCATTATATGAGAATAACTAGAGAAATAATAAGCCTGTCCAACCAACTTGTATATAAATCTACAGGTCCAAATTAGACACATCCAAGTTATCTGAAAGAACTAATGGAGGATCTCTTGGTACCTCTGAGAATATACTTCAGTAAATCATGGAAATCAGGAGAGGTACCCAAACACACGAAAATTGTGGTACCTAACTTAAGGGTAGGAAAGAAGCCTAAAGAAACTAATACCCCAAAGGCTAATCCAAAGAATATACCTGATGTTTTCTACTTAGTATAGTCTCCCTTAGGAAATGAACTCTTTAATAACGCTTCTTAAACATAGTCTTTGTTAAGTCATGCTAATACTTTTCAAAAAAATATCAGGCTAGCTATAATTTCAAAATAGCTTAAGCAAGTTGATAGCTTAATCAAGTATACTGGATATGATGCACTTAAACTTACATATTTATGCTGTAATATGAAGTAAAACTTGATTGACACAAAAGTAGGATGGTGGACCAAGATGGCTGATTAGAAGCAGCTGTGGTCCACAACGCTCACACAGAAGAGTGGAAGAATGAAAATGGTGAGTTAATTCTGCACTTTCAACTGACGTATTCAGTTTCTTGCATTGGGAATGACTTGCATTGGTACGGATTAGGCGGACCGCTCCACCCATGGAGGTTGAGGAAAAGCAGGATAGGGCGATGGCCTACCCAGGAGCAGCACAGAGCCAGGGAGCCCCACCCACAGGCAAGGGAGGCTGTGAGTGATTGTGTGACCCCTCCCAGGAAACCAGGCTTTTCCCACAAATCTTTGTGGTCCAAGGATCAGGTGATTCCCCTCATGAGTCCACACCACCAGGGCCTTCGTTTGGAAGCACAGAGTTGTGCAAGTCTCGGTGAAGCAGCCATTCACCACACAGAGACACAGGAGTTTTGCATACTTCAGCCCTGGGAATTCCAGCAAGGCAGGAAATGCATCCACGAATTCCCCTAGGAAGGAGGCTGAATCCAGGGAGCCAAGCAGTGTCATTTTACAGGCCCCATTCCCAAGGCAACTCATAAGTTAAGAACCACTGGCCTGGAATTCCAGCTGGCCAGCAGCAGAAGGCTGAAGACTGCCTGAGACAGACTAAGTTTCCAAGGTGAGGGAGAGCCGCCATCTCTCCAGTTCGAGGCAGCAGTTCTAGTCTGCCTGCTCCAGGGACTCTGGGCTGTCCTGACTGGGAGGAGCTCCCCACCACACAGCTGCTATGCCAGATTGTGGTCAGATTAGTTCTTTAAGTGGGACTCTGGTCCATCCCTCCTCACTGGGCAGGGCCTCCCTGCAGGAATTTCTGCAACTCCAGCCAGGGCTATACAGGCCGAACTCAAAGAACTCTGATCTCTCCCTGGGACAGAGCCCCTAGGGGGCAGGGCAGCTGCCATCTCTGCAGTTAAGCTGACTTAGCCTTTTCAGCCTGCTGGCTCTGCAGAGTCCCAGTGGTCTAGATGAGGGGAGTTTCTCCCAGGGCAGCACTCCTGCTCTTCCAAGGGGCAGCCAGACTGCTTATTTAAGCAGGTCCTTGACCCTGTTCTGCCCGACTGGATGGACCTCCCAACAGAGGTCTCCAGACACCTCTTGTAGGAGTGTTCGGTCAAGCATTAGCTCAGTGCCCCTCTGGGGCAAAAGCCCCAGAGGAAGGAGCCAGCTGCCATCTTTGCTGTTTCACAGCCTTCACTGATACCTCCAGGTACAGAAGGAAGTGAGAACACTAGAGTCTGGAGTGGACCCCCAGCAAACTGCAGCAGCCCTACGGAAGAGTGGCCCCACTGTTAAAAGAAAAACAGAAAACAACAACAACATCAACCAAAAAGCCCCACAAATCTCCCCTTTCAGAGGTCAGCAGCCTTAACAACTGAAGGTAAATAAGCCTACAAAGATGAGAACAAAATCAATCCAAAAATGCTGAAAACTGAAAAAGCCAGAGTGCCTGTTCTCTTCTAGATGACCGCAACACCTCTCCAGCAAGGGCACAGGACTGGGCTTGGGCTGAGATGGCTGAACTGGCAGAAGTAGGCTTCAGAAGGTGGGTAATAAAAACTTCACTGAGCTAAAGGCGCATATTCTAACCCAATGGAAAGAAGCTAAGAATCATGGCAAAATATACAGGATTGGATAAGCACAATAGCCAGTTTAGAGAAGAACATAA